AAGACTCGTTTAAAGTTTGTCATCAGTCATTGGTGGGTTTCGATCCGTCTATTGTTAGTCAAATTGGTCGGTTCCAACAGATCGACTTAATTTGACTAACAATAGAGGGACCAAAGACCGACCGATTTGACTAACAATAACATTTTAATACGCTTTACATACCCAATCAGATTCAGTTCTCTTTGAAAATTTCGTGCGAATAGAACCAGCCGGCTTCAAGTTTCCATCAAATTGTCTCAGCTCGTTAGGTTCCCTGATAAGTCCACTGATACCAGGTCTTTGGGATCTAACACACTTGGTTTTGCTGTCGTCTTTTTCGTGTGGAGTGCATTGCTTGAAGCAACGATTTCGATGATCTATGAATCAAACTTGCTGTTCTCATATTGCGCTGCGCCACTACAAGAATGGTAGATTTTTCCAGATCCTCTGTCTTCCCTATTTTTACTCCCTCGATAGGCTTAATTACCCATGCATAATTATCTGATATTTCTCATAAAGACTGTTCCTTCCGAACTCTTTGCCCACTTCCTTTAAAAAGGAATAAATAAACAAATCAATAAGGTGTCTTGGATCTGTAAAGCGTGATTGAAACTAGTGTTTCCAAAATCAATAGCACCAAACGCCATCAATTCATCTTCTTCAGTCACTCGTAGCCAAANTAAAGTTTGTCATCAGTCATTGGTGGGTTTCGATCCGTCTATTGTTAGTCAAATTGGTCGATTCCAACAGATCGACTTAATTTGACTAACAATAGAGGGACCAAAAACCGACCGATTTGACTAACAATAACGTTTTAATACGCTTAACATACCCAATCAGATTCAGTTCTCTTTGAAAATTTCGTGTGAATAGAACCAGCCGGCTTCAGATAGACGGCGAAAAATCAAGTTTCCATCAAATTTTCTCAGCTCGTTAGGTTCCACGATAAGTCCACTGATACCAGGTCTTTGGGATCTAACACACTTAGTTTTGCTGTCGTCTTTTTCGTGTGGAGTGCATTGCTTGAAGCAACGATTTCGATAATCTATGAATCGAACTTGCTGTTCTCATATTGCGCTGCGCCACTACAAGAATGGCAGATTTTTCCCGATCCTCTGTCTTCCCTATTTTTACTCCCTCGATAGGCTTAATTACCCATAATTATCTGATATTTCTCATTCATAAAGATTGTTCCTTCCGAACTCTTTGCCCACTTCCTTTAAAAATGAATAAATAAACAAATCAATAAGGTGTCTTGGATCTGTAAAGCGTGATTGAAACTAGTGTTTCCAAAATCAATAGCACCAAACGCCGTCAATTCATCTTCTTCAGTCGCTCGTAGCCAAAATTGATTCACCCGCAAGTTGCCTAGATCACCGTTCACAAGAATCTTATATTAGCAACTCAAAGAATGGTTAAACATTAATGTGTTACATAGAAATGTGCCGAACTCACTCCATATCATCTTGTCCACCTGACTTTGTTCAGGTGGAAACGAGGCAAAAAGCGTTTCAAATTCTCCCCAGTGCTCCCTCAACAATTAAGAGGTTCAACACGTGACCAAAGAAATGAACAGGGAAATTACCAAAGGAAGTTTATTGAGTTTCTAACTCCGTGTTTGGACATATCTAGCGCGTGCATGTTGTTCATTTCACGTCATTTCGTACGAGATGATTTTTTCAATAATTGTAACATATCAAGAATGATGGACAGCAAAAACTTAAATTTGAATGGTTCTGAGAAAAGGCCGAGACATCACTATTCAGTCTCGTACATCATTCATTCAAAAAGGCAGAACAATTGATCCTAATGGTCTGAATATCCGCGAAGAAACATATTAATTGTTTCCATTTGTTTTCTTTTATTATGTTTTTTTATCATGTTATTATATTTTATCGTATGCTTATTTTTAATTTACACTATCAATTACTTTTGCGTATTTCCGGTATTACGTAAATATCGGCTACATAAAAACACGTACCAATGTAAAATTTTCCATTGTACCTGAAGAAGGCTGGTTTGGCCAGCCGAAATTTAGTACACCTTAAAAAATCATCCTACGTTGTGTCGGTTTTTGCTTTTGTATTGTTCATTATTCATTCGCCTGGTGCCATTTCCCAGCATATTTTTATAGTCAAAAGAAACTCAACTTGCAAAATGCAAATTATGAAAACATTTGAAGAGAATTCTGCGTTTTTGATTCGCAGTCAATGATTTAAAAAGAACCAATGGAGAGTTTCGTCCGAATGAAAGATCTATTTGTGTCCATGCTCTCGCTCCAAAGTCGTTCAAGTAAGCTCTGGGTGCGTGATCACCACAGTCTCGTAAAGTGAGGCATGCACAGTACGAGTGGCGTTACACAGAAACAATGTCTTTTGTGGTACTTTTTTTTCGTGCACGCTCTTTTATACTCCTCTCACTTGGTAGTTGGAACCAGTGGTTTTTTTGGTTGGTTCTTGCTGTTGTTTTGGGAAGAAAAATTTCTTTTCAGGCTCTCGTTATAATTTGAACATGAGATTCGAATTATACGAAGGAGATGTTCAGTCGAGACTACAGTGTTAATTTGAAGACCCAGAATTAACTCAGTGCTAGGAAGTTTTTTCTCAGTTGGAAATGTCTGACGAGGTGGCCGAGTGGTTAAGGCGTTGGACTGCTAATCCAATGTGCTCTGCACGCGTGGGTTCG